TTCGTATTGTTTTTATCGTTTTCTGTTTACGTGTTGTGTTTACGTCTTGTTTTTAGGTATTGTTTTATGTGTTGTGTTTACGTGTTGTTTTTACGTGTTGTTTGTACGTGTTGTTTTGATGTGTTGTGTTTACGTGTTGTTTCTACTTGTGTTACACGCAATTGTACGTGTATTTCGAGGTATGCTTACGTGTTTTTACGTGTTATGTTGTTTACTTGTTGTTTTACGTATTGCTCTTACGTGTAGTTTCGATGTGTTGTTTTAACGTGATTGTTATGTTTTACATGTTGTTTTGCGTATTGTTTCACGCATTGTTTTCCTCACTGTTAATTTAGTACCTCGCTGCATTTACTTCTTGATTTACGTGTTGCTCGTACGTGTTGTTACGTGTTGTTTTACGTATTGTTTTACGTGTTGTTTTTACGTGTTGTTTTATGTGTTGGTTTAACGTGTGTAGAACGAATTTTCACGTGTATTACGCGTTGTGCTTACGTAGTGCTTACGCGTTGTGATCACATGCTGGTTTAACGTATTGTTTTACGTGTTGTGTTTATGTTGTGTTGGTTTTTATTGTTTTCATTTATTGTTTTTACGTGTTGTTTTTATTTGGTGTTTTTTTACGTGTTGGTTTTACGTATTGTTTTGACGTGTTGTTTTTATGTATTGTTTTTATGTGTTGTTTTTATTTGTTGTTTTTACGTGGGTTGAAACAATTTTCACGTGCATTACGCGTTGTGTTCACGTAATGTTTACGCGTCGTGATCACGTGCTGTTTCAACGTACTTTGTTTACGTGTTGTTTTTTTATGTTGTGTTGGTTCGTATTGTTTTTATGTGTTGTTGCTACGTTTTGTTTTTAATTTGTGTTTTTTACGTGTTGGTTTTACGTATTGTGTTGACGTGTTGTTTTTATGTAGTGTTTGTATGTGTTGTTTTTACGTGTTGTGTGTACGCGGGTTGAACAATCTTTCACGTGTATTACGTGTTGTGCTCACGTAGAGTTTACGTGTTGTGATCACGTGCTGTTTTAATGTATTGTTTTTACGTCTTGTTTTTGAGTGTTGTTGTTTCGTATTGTTTTTACGTCTTATGTTTACGTATTGTTTTCACGTGTTGTGTGTTACGCATTGTTTTTACGTGTTGTTTTTACGTGGTTTGAATTTTCACGTGTATTACGCGTTGTGTTCACGTAGTGTTTACGCGTTGTGATCACGTGTTGTTTCAACGTATTGTTTTTACATATTGTTTTTACTTGTTGTTTTTTCGTATTGTTTTTTATGTATTGTTTGTACGTGTTGTTTTTGCGTATTGATTTTAAGTGTTGTTTTTACGTATTCTTTTCAAGCGTTGTTTTTACGTATTGTTGTTACGTGTGTTTACGTGTTGTTTTAACGTGTTGTTTTTTTCTTCACGTTTACGTATCGTTTTTACGTATTGGTTTTAAGTGTTGTTTTTGTTTCGTATTGTTTGTATTTATTGTTATTACGTATTGTTTTTACGTATTGTTTTCAAGTGTTGTTTTTTACGTGTTGTTATTACGTATTGTTTTTACTTGTTGTTTTTACGTATGGTTTTTACGTGTTGTTTTCTTTTCTCGTTTACGCATCGTTTTTACGTGTTGCTTATATGTGGGTTGAACTTTTTTTAACGCGTATTTCGTGTTGTGCTTACGTGGTGGTTACGCGTTGTGATTACTTATTGTTTGTACGTATTGTTTTTACGTTTTTTTTTGGGTGTTGTTTTTACGTATTGTTTTTTCGTGTTCTTTTTACGTATTGGTTTTACGTGTTGTTTTTACGTGCGGTTTTTATGTGGATTGAACGAATTTTCACGTGTATTACGCGTTGTGTTCACGTAGTGTGTATTGTTTTTTACGTATTGTTTTACGCGTTGTTTTTACGTTTTGTTTTTACGTGTTGTTTTTGCGTATTGTTTTTAAGCGTTGTGTTTTACGTATTGTGTTTACATGTTGTTATTACGTATTGTTTTTACGTGTTTTTCTGTGTGTTTTTTACGTATTGTTTTTTAAGCGTTGTTTGTACATATTGTTTTCAGGTGTAGTTATTATGTATTATTTTTAAGTGCTGTTTTCACGTGTTGTTTTGTACGCGGGTTGAACGAATTTTCCAGTGTTTTTTGTTTTTATGTGTTGTTGTTTTGTTCGTATTGTTTTTACTTATTGTTGTTACGTATTGTTTTTATGTGTTGTTTTTACCTGTTGTTTTTACATATTGTTTATACGTGTTGTTTTTACGCATTGTGTTTACGTGTTGTTTTTACGTGTTGTTTGCTACGTGGGTTGAACGAATTTTCACGTGTATAACGCGTTGTGCTCACGTAGTGTTTACGCGTTGTGATCGCGCGTTGTTTTTACGTATTGTTTTTATGTGTTGTTGTTTCGTATTGTGCTCACGTGTTGTTTTTACAGTTTGTTTTTAAGTGGTGGTTTTACGTGTTGTTTTGACGTATTGTTTTTACGTTTTGTGGGTAGGCGTTGTTTTCACGTGGTGTTTTTAAGTATTGGTTTTACGTGTTGTTTTTACTTGCTGTTTTTACGTGGGTTGAGCGAATTTTCACGTGTATTACGTGTTGTGTTCACGTAGTGTTTACGCGTTGTGATCACGTGTTGTTTCAACGTATTGTGTTTATGTATTGTGTTTAGGTGTTGTTGTTTCGTATTGTTTTAAGTGTTGTGTTTACGTATTGTTTTCACGTGTTGCTTTTACGTATTGTTTTTACGTGTTGTTTTTACGTGTTTTTACGTGCGTTGAAGGAGTTTTCACGTGTATTACGCGTTGTGCTCACGTAAGGTTTACGCGTTGTGATCACACGCTGTTTTAAATTATTGTTTTTACGTATTGTTTTTAAGTGTAGTTTTTACGTTTTGTTGTTACGTTTTGTTTTTACGTGTTGTGTTTACGTTTTGTGTTTAAGTGTTGTTTTTACGTGTTGTTTTGATGTATTGTTTTTACGTGTTGTTTTTTTTTTATGCGTTGTTTTTACGTGTTGTTTTCTTTTCACGTTTACGTATCGTTGTTTTAGGTTTTTTTTTTTTTTTTGTATGTGTGTGTTTTTTTAGTATTTGTTTTACGTGTTGTTTTTACGTGTTGGTTATACGTATTGTTTTCCAGTGTTGTTTTTACGTGTTGTTTTTACGAGCTGGTTTACGTGTTGTTTTTACGTATTGTGTTGACGTGTTGTTTTCTGTTCACGTTTACGTGACGTTTTTACGTGTTGTTTTACGTGGTGTTTTTACGCGGGTTGAAAGCATTGTTACGGGTATTACGCGTTGTGCTTACGTAGTGTTTACACGTTGTGCTTACGTATTGTTTTTACGTATTGATTTTTCCGTATTGTTTTTACGTGTTGTTTTTATGGATTTTTTTTTTTTTTTTTTTTTTCCTTGTGTTTTTCTTACGTGTTGGTTTTACGTGTTGGTTTTACGTGTTGTGTTTACGTGGGTTGAACGAATTTTCACGTGTATCACGCGTTGTGTTCACGTAATGTTTATGCGTTGTTTTTACGTGCTGTTTTAACGTATTGTTTTTACGTATTGTTTTGTATGTGTTGTTGTTCCGTATTCGTTTTACGTATTGTTTTTATGTTGTGTTTGTGTTGTTTTTACGTGTTGTGTTTATGTAATGATTTTTTTTACGCGTTTTTTTACGTGTTGTTTTTTACGTGTTGTTTTTACGTGTTGTTTTTACGTGCTGTGTTTTTTTTACGGGGGTTGAACAAATGTTCACGTTTTTTTTGTTTCTTTTTTTTACGTTTTGTTTTTTTACGTATTGTTTTTAAGTGTTGTGTTTACGTATTGTTTTGACGTGTTGTTTTTACGAGTCGTTGTTAGGTATTGTTTAAATTGTTGTTTTTACGTGTTGTTTTTTTACGTGTGTTTAGTGAATTGTCACGTGTATTACGCGTTGTGTTCACGTAGTGTTTACGCGTTGTGATCACGCGCTGTTTTAACGTATTGTTATTTCGTATTGTCTTCACGTGCTGTTTTTACGTGTTGTTTTTAAGTATTGGTTTCCAGTGTTGTTTTTACGTGATGATTTTACGTGTTGTTTTACGTATTGTTTTCACGTGTTGTTTTTACGTATTGTTTTTACGTGTTGTTTTTAGGTATTGTTTTCACGTGTTGTTTTTACGTGTTGATGTTACGTGGGTTGAACGATTTTTCACGTGTATTACGCGTTGTGCTCACGTAATGCTCACGCGTTGTGATCACGTTCTGTTTTAACGTATTGTTTTTAAGTATTGTTTTTAAGTGTTTTTGTTTCGTGTTGTTTTTACGTGCTGTGTTTACGTATTGTTTTCACGTGTTGTGTTTTACGTGTTATGTTTACGCGTTGTTTTTACGTGTTCTTTTTACGTGGGTTGAACGAATTATCACGTGTATTACGCATTGTGTTCACGTAATGTTTTTGCGTTGTGATCACCCGCTGTTTTAACGTGTTGTTTTTTCACGTGTTGTTTTTATGTGTTGTTTTTGTTCGTGTTGGTTTTATTTATTGTTTTACGTACGTATTCTTTTTAAGTGTTGTTGTTCTACGCGTTGTTTTTGCTTATTGTTTTTACGTGTTGTTTTTACGTTTCTTTCACGTGTTGCTTTATTCTCACGTGTACGTATCGTTTTTACGTATTGTTTTCACGTGTTGTTTTTTTCTTCACGGTTAGATTGAACCATCGCCCTGGAGGGTCCAGGGGGGGGGCAGGGCGAACGACGGAACGGACGACATGGAATTGCAGCAGATGGCTTGCGTGGCGTGGCTCTTGCACGGGGGAGCGGCAAGAGACAGGAAGAGGAAAAGGGCGAGTCAGGGCCAGCCTGGGATTCTCTTGGGGCCTCTGCAAGAGTGGGATGCGGGGCTTTCATTTCTGGCTTGCGCTACGGGGTCGAAGTTGGATGAACAGTACCGCCACGATAGCGACCAGGGTGGCGGCAAGGATGCCGAGGGCGACTCCCGTAGTTAGCCGTTCTGACGCTGCCCCCTTTGCTGGCTGAGTTGGCGAGGGAGGTGCGGCAGCCACACGACGCTTCGCTTACGATTACCCCCCCCCCCGGTGAGCCCCCGGGGGCGCCGCCCTCATGGCGGCGAGCGCCGCGGGCGTGCCGGACGCCCTTCGCGAGACCGCGCCCGGGCGGCCGGCGAGCGGCGGCGTGGAGAGGACGTTGCTGCTGGAGGCGGCCGCGAGCCTCGCCAAGGCCCAGGAGGCCCAGGCCAGGCTCGCCGGGGCGCTGGACGCCCTGCTCCACGAGGGCTCCGCCCCAGACCTCCAGGATGCCCAGAACGGCTCCGAGGTGCAGAGCCCACGGCCGGATCCCAGCGTGGAGTCCGGAGTCTTGGTGGCCGCGAAGGCGACGATGACCTCGGGCATCAAGGACGTGATGAACCACGACGAGCAGCTCTTTGCTGGTAGCCTGGCATCTGGCGCCTGGCCAGCTTCGTTGCAGATCAGATGGGACGAGAGCATGAAACCAGCCTGTATGGACTTGCGCGGGGCCTCCAGTACCACACAGCTCCTTGAGAGAATGGGCCAGTCCCCGCTGGCGGAGACGCCACCGCTGGATGCGGCATCGCACGCCCGTTTCTCCATGCAACGGTTTGCCATTCTCCACACTTCCCGCACGTACATGTTGTACGGATGGGTGAGTTGCTTTCTTCTTTTATTTGATGTTGTGGTCGTTCCATGGATGATTGCTTGGGACGTTCCCCTGGTTGGTTTCCAGAGGGACATGGCCTGGGTGACGACGTTGTTTTGGACTGCTGACATCTGTGCCAGCTTCATCACCAGTTTTCACCAGAACGAGAACGAGGAGCTGATCGACCACATTCCTACCATAGCAAAGCGCTACCTGCGCTCATATTTTGCCATCGATGTGATCATCATCACTGGCGACTGGGTGTCCCTATTCCTCTCAAAGTCAGCTGGGTGGAGGGTGGCCCGCCTCGCAAAGGTTGGCCGGTTGTTGCGACTTGTGGTGCTAATCCGCGTGCTAAAAGCCCCTGCCATCGTGAAGAAATTGGGGGAGAGATTGTCGGACTACTCAAAGCTCGCGCTTCGTTTTGCAAATATGTTCGTGATCACCGTTTCTTGTACACATATGATATCTTGCGCGTGGTTTTTCATTGGGAGGTCGGTGCCGTCGGACACGGGTATGAGTTGGATTCGCACGTCCGATTATTTAACAGTATCCGAAGAGAGCATGTGGTATCAGTACACCACTTCTTTCCACTGGGCAATGGCTCAACTTTGCTTAGGATCAAACGAGGTGGTGTGCACCACAAGTGTCGAAAGGATGTTTTCTGTCATGTGCATGGTGGTCGGACTCTTGTTCGGCAGCACCCTTGTCTCAACGCTTTCCACAGCGATGTTCCAGGTCCAAATGGATCATCGTGACAACCACGTGAAGCTGAAGCAGATGAAGACGTACCTGCACGAGAACCAGATCGACCAGAGTTTTGCGGCAGATGTGCAGACGCAGTTGCGAGCGCGGTTAGTCGCAAAGGACAGGGTCAAGGAAGAGGACGTTTACGGCTTGAAGCTTCTGTCTTCAGCTATGCAGGCAAAATTGAGGTGCGAAGTGTTCGTGCCGCGTATTGAGCACCATTCACTGTTCAATGTATGGGTCAGCGTAGACAGGACATCCGCAGAGCATTTCATCATCAGTCACATGAAATCTGTCCACCTCATGCGGGAGGACGACCTCTTCTCTTCAGGCAAGAGAGCGGATTGCGCCTACGTGCTGGTCACTGGTGGTTTGAAGTACACACAGTATCCCGAACATGCTCTCGTCGACGAAATAAAAGAGGAGGACGTGAAGAGGGGCGGCCTGATATCCGAAGCGACCCTCTGGTGTCACTGGTTTCATGTAGGCACCTCGCAGGCCACGCAGTTCTGCGACGTCGCGGAGATGCGGGCCACGGGGCTGCAGGACGCTGCCAGGCAAAGCGAGGCGATGTTCGAGCTTTGCAGGGAGTACTGCGAGCAGTTTCACCGGCGGCTGCAGGCAGCAAGGCCGCCGACGATGCCTTGGCCCGACGATCTCCAGGTGCCCCTGACGGAGTGGGGCGACATGGTGTCTTCCATGAGCGGAGAGACGAAGAGTCTCATCGGCCTGGACGCCATTCACAAGGCTGGTCTCAGGACGTGGAGCAGGTATAACTCGCTCGCGGGCACGCTCACCACGGAGATCCTGAGTGGCACCTCCATCGTGGTGCTGGAGGCGAACTGCGAGCTGCGGCGCATCGTGTCGCTCGTGGCGATTCGGATCCGCAACAGGCAGGGGCAGCTGCTGATCGAGCTGGGCAGGAGCAGGTCGGGGACGATGATTACAGAGTGCCGGCTGCCGGGAGGGAAGCAGCACCAGGGCGAGCTCGTCATGGAGAGTTTGCATCGGCTGTTGGAGACGAAGATGGCCTCGATCGCCAGCAATCTGGAAACCGTCAGGGTTGATCGAGAGGTCGAGACGAAGCAGTCGGAGGAGTACCACATTCGGACCAAATACTTCCGCAACGTGGTGCACATGTCATACACGTCCGGACTGGCCTCGATGCCATCCGAATGTTCCAACGATAGTATGTCTCCTGTAGCACTGCGTGACCTGAACTCCTCAGGGAGCATCTCTCCAAAAGTTGTACGACAACGGACTATTCGACACCGGACTATTGCTGCCGCTGGCATTCTCATCCCGCAGGCATCTCGTGATGGTCATCTTCCGTCGTGGGCGCCCGTCTTTCTGAAGAGCGACAAGAATGAGGACACCGTGTATGCATGGCTGACAGAATTGGAGTTTAGGAATTTGCAGCGCCCAGGCTCAAAAGAGCTGATATCACGCTGGCTCAACGCAGCGATGGCGAGACTCAATGAAACGAACATTGATCACTACCCAGAGGATCAGCAGGTGATTTGAGTGCGATTCCGGGAGCTCAGAGGTGGGCTCCTCACGATTGCACTGGGGCCCTTCGGCGGGAGTCGGTGCGCGCCTCGGAGGTTCGCTGCCGGGCCTAGCAGCCCGCGGGAGCTCAGCAGGCGTTCTTCCGATACGTGGCTTTTGTTCAGTGGTCTCGTCTGAGAAGCCCCGTTGTTGTTACACATTTTATGCGCCTGTTGGCGCGAGCCCGCGAGCGTGGTGGTCGACTAGCATGATGCTGCCAATCTGGGCAGAGAGCTACAGCTCTCAGCCCAGATAGGCAGTTGCCATTGCCCCCCCTCCTCCGCACAGGTATCTTCGTCTTCCTAGGTCTTCCTCGCTGTTCTTGCGACTCTCCTGGGTTGCAGCACGGGTCGTGGCTGTGCTTGTGCTCCAACAACAGGAGCTCGCCCGAGCCAGCCTGCCGATCGCGAGGAGGCTTCCGTCCTCCCTTCTGGCTGTTCTGAAGTCGGGCCTGTCCCTCTACAGAAGGAATAGACCAAACTAGTAGAAAAATACTCAGGGATTTGTTTTGAGTATTTGTTTAAACATATGTTTGAATATTTTTGGAATATGTTTCATGTTTCGTCCAAAATCCGCCTGTAAGAGGACATGCCCGACATAAGGCTATTTTCACCTGGCCCAGAGGGCCTCCTCTCGGGCCGTTCTTTCCGCTGCGACGTGAGCGCCCCATCACCAGAAGTGTGATAGGCCTGCTGCGCAAAGCGGGCGACAACGTATAGATGCTAATGCGTGCAAAATGAGTGTTGTAAGCATTCTGGGTCGGGGCCTCGGCGACGAGAGGCCCCCATATGTGCATGGCGATGCGTACCACCTCGTCGGCACCGGAGGCATGGGTAGGGCCCACACAAGGCCCCCCCCCCAAAAGCCCCCGATTCGCTTCCCCGATGCCACGACGCTCCAACTGCGGGCGCCGTCCATTCAGGTCGGCCTACGCACGCGCGAGTTTGCTGTGTCCTTTTCGATCCTGATTTACAGCCCCGTGTCCAGGGATACTGCCTCCTCCTCCTCCTCCTGAGGGGCTTTCCGTTTCACGGCGATCTCACCCCCATTTTTCGATCATGCCGCAGTTATTCAAGGTTCTTTTCAATGACGCGTGCGAGGTTGCAGCCATCCTTTGCTACTCCTTCTCACGCTGCGGCGTTGCCTTGCTGTGCTGATGTGCAGTCATCGACTTTGGGGTCACCCATCCTTGCCGTCGAGAAAGAACAAAAGATGCCGATGGCGACTGCGAAAATGGCGCTGATGATGGGAGTGATGGAGGATGATTGTCATGACGCATGCGGCTTTGAGAAATCTCGTGGCTTAGCAAGGCCGTCGTCTTTGCGCAAACGGAGAGCGATGACGATGACGTCGACAGTGGCGACGAGGAATACTAGGGCGATGCTTGCGGTGACAGTGGCGGTGTGGGCGGCGACGACGGCGACGATGATGATGGCGCGATACTGGTGGGCAGCACCATTAAAGAGTTGATGACTGTCGACGAGAAAATGACGGGATGATGCGGCTGAGTTCCTTCGAGGTGGTGGTCGACCCGGTGCTCTCAGCGAAGCTGCGGGAACACCAGCGCGAGGGCGTGCAGTTCCTCTTCGATTGCCTCATGGGTGTGTGACTCGGCAGTGACCTTCATCAGTTTATCCTACGCAGTATCATCGCCGTCCCCATTCGCATCCATCGATGGAGCCAGGTCTTCGTTTTTCCCTTACACTCCGTGGGCCCCGCCTCTCCTTCGCTCGTCCCTCTCCCTCCTCCCGCCCCTCTCTGCCATGCGCGTCCCCTAATTACAGCCCGACTGGGGGCTGTGGTCACCACTACCAAATGTAGGACAGGGGAGAAGAGATGATGAATGGGAGGTCCTCCTCCTCTCCTCCTCCCCCTCCTTGTCCTCCTCCCTCTCCTACTTGTGGTAGTTGTGGTGGAAAAGCGGCCCATCAGCGGTCATCCGGTTCCAGATGATTTTGCCGCAGCCCCTGTGCCGAATAGCCACCTCTGACGCATGTGGGCGCTGGCCGAGTCGTCTATCGATTTCGGCAATCGCGGAGATGCTATGGTTATGGTCGGGTCTGCGTTTTGGAAGAGAGTGCCGATCTCGGCCAGGGCAGGCCGTGCGTTTCGCTGGAGACTTCCTCACCGCTGCGATGTTGAAGCTTCAGGATCAAAGCTCCTGCACAGGTGGAGCCGGCTTGTTTTCAAAACGTGGCTCTTGTCATGCCTCCGCGCACACTCGTCTTCATCACGACCAACAGTTAGACGGATTGAGGGCGAGCCGTTTTCTACATGGGGCTCTCAAGCTGGTGCCGCGCACATTCGTTTTACATAAATCAAGCAATCAGTTGCACAGGGCGGTTTCTTTTCACAAAGGGGCTTGCGCCAGAGATATCGCCAACATGTATTACCACAAATATAGAATGTGCAGCATTGGAACAGGTCGAAGGGCAATTCCTTCCCAACACGGGTCGCTCATCTGAGACTTTCGGAACGTCCGTGGCCACAATGCGGGCGCTGCTCAGAGTTCAATGGATGGCAGGGTGGCGACCTGCAAGGAGGGGCTCTCCCTCAAGGCGCCGCTATGTCTCATGACCAGAAGCACACTGCTGTGCAGCAGCTGCCATTCCAAGCGCAGCACGTGCCATGCTCAGGACGCCTGTGCCAACACGCTGCGTGCTGGCTCGGCACGTGCTGGCCCACGTCTTGGCGAACGTGTCGCGCTCGACGCACGTTCTCAACATCCGTGCGGAGCTCCGTGTCAACACGCTGCGGGTTGCGTGTTGCGTGTCGGGGCGACTGAGGAGTGGGAGCAGAAAGGGGGAGCAGGCGGGGAGCGGAGGGGGAGGAGCAGGAGGAGGAGGAGGAGGCGGAGGAGGACCCCCTCCGCCAGGGTGGCAGAAGTCCGCCCCCTGGGGGAGCCGCGCCCGCACCTTGCTCTCCTCTTTTGTCGGAGGATCTCGCTGCACCTCTGCCTCTGCGGGCAGACAAGATTCAGGCGGTCGCAAACATGGATCAAGGGGGCGTGGATTAGCGTCGGGGCCCGCTTCCATGGGACATCGCGGATCTCCGCCGCCGAACGAGGCGGCACCGGCCGCATTTTGGGGAGGGCACCTCCCCCGATCCCTGGATCTGGCGACCGCGCGCCCCCGGCAGGCGGAGGGGCTGGAGCCTTCCCGAAGCGGGGCCGTCGCTGGACACGTCCTTCGACTCTGTGCCCGCGCAACCTCGCATTCCTCCGAGCTCGAAGGGCGAAGGGCGGCTTCTTTCGGGCCGGAGCGTCCGCCCGGGTCAGAGAGGGGCATGATATCTCTAGGGACTGGTCAGGAGGGGACTTGGGACGGTAGGATTTGTTTCAGCATCGTTGATACGCCTTGGGGTTTATTTGGTCTTCCTCCATCGTCATCATCATCATCATCATCATCATCATCATCATCATCATCATCATCAGCAGCAGCAGCATCATCATCATCATCAGCATCATCATCATCATCCTCTTCATCTTCATCTTCATCATCATCATCATCATCATCATCATCATCATCATCATCATCATCATCATCATCATCATCGTCGACGGCTGGGGTGCTGGAGTGGATGCGCGCCGTGCGCCAGCTGCCTTCCCTGGCAGCGCCACGAGGGCCTGGGTGCCTGCCCCTCCTCCTCCTCCTCCTCCCCTTCCTTCCTTCCTTCCTCCTTCCTTCGTTCCTTCTTCCGTAGGTAGGACGGGGGAGAAGAGCGGATGGCGATGCCGCCCTACTCCCTGCTCCTCCTCCTCCTCCTCCTCCTCCTCCTCCTCCTCCTCCTCCTCCTGCTCCTCCTCTCCTCCCCCTCCTCCTCCTCCTCCTCCTCCTCTCCTCCTCCTCCCTCCTCCTCCTCCTCCTCCTCTCCTCCTCCCCTCCTTTCCTCCTCCTCCTCCTCCTCCTCCCCTTCCTTGCTTCCTTCCTTCCTTCCTCTTCCTTCCTTTCTTCTCCTCCTCCTCCTCCTCCTCCTCCTCCTCCTCCTCCTCCTCGGGAACCCTCTCGTCGCCATGGCCAGGCCTGGCCCGAAGCGTCCGTCAGGGCGGCCTCCGGGAGGTCCAAAGCTCGGGAGGCACCTGCTGAGCAGCGGTGTCGGGAGGGAGCGGGCGGAGGGCGGGGGGAGGGATGGGGGTGAGGAGGATGGGGGCAGGGCGCGAGGCGGGGAGGGGGCGGTATGGGGGAGGAAGGGAGAGAGCGGGCTGCAGGGAAGGGGGCGGCGGGAGGGAGGAATGGGGGGCTTGGGGAAGAGCGAGGAAGCAGAAGGGACATGAATGAGGAGGATGAGGGTGACGACGGGGGAGACGGGCTGCAGAGAAGAACACGATGAGGAGGGGAGGAGGAGGAGGAGGAGGATGAGGAGGACAAATAGCGAGTGTGCGAGAGAGAGTGGGTCATTGAGGAGGATAGCTGCGGATGGTGATGATGATGATGCTGATGATGATGATGATGATGATGATGATGATGATGATGATGATGATGATGATGATAATGATGCTGATGGTGGTGATGATGATGGTGATGGTGATGGTGATGGTGATGGTGATGGTGATGGTGATGGTGATGATGATGATGATGATGATGATGATGATGATGATGATGATGATGCTGATGAAGATGATGATGCTGATGGTGATGATGGTGATGATGAGGATGATGATGAAGGGAAACAGAGGATTGAGGAAGGTGCGAGGATGAGGGTACTTGCGGTGGAGGGTGGCGAGGAGCAGTATGATGATCAGGACATTAGCGACTTGGGACCATATGAGGAGGGTAGACAAGGTTGGAGAATTGGGGATCACAGAGGTTGGGCAAGGGGAGGAGAAGAACAGGAAGGAGGAAGGATGAAGGATGAATGGGAAGGAAGGAGGACGACGAGGATGCGCCAGAAGAATGTGGAGAAGGTCGTCGTCGTGCTCGCCGATCAGATCGGGAGGAGCGCGCCAAGGTCTCAAGCCGCTGGGGGGCTGCGGCTGCATGAGTGCGCCTTTCGGCTGGCCGCGGGGAAACCTGAGCCCTTCGTTGTCGTCGTCCTTTTCCCACGGTCACAAGTATTGGGCGAGGCTACTTTCCGAAGAGGGGCTCTCGCCTGAGACTTCTTCGGGGTCTACGACCCCAAATGTAAACGTGTGCATCCCGTACACGGGCGGGGCTTGGCTCTTTTTCAGATATTGGGTCTCGCTTGATACTTCTTCAAGATGGACGACCCGATGTGTAACACTGTGCGGCAGCTGCACCTATGACCAGGCGTTTGTTTGTCCCCTTTTGCCGACATGAGCCAATCGCGGGGCATTTTCTTCAACATTCTGGTCCTGCCAATTACGCTGATGCTTCGCTGCGAAGCAGAACGCTCGCCTGCATGGCAGGTCAATGTAACGCTCGTCCGTCAGGACTGAGCTTCCCGCAGCGACAAATCATATCACTTACGCAACTCCAATCGAAAGCGAACTAGGGGTTTTCTGGCCGCGCCACCGTCGGTTCACATTCGGCAAGGGGGACGAACGGGTCGGGCAGCCGCGCCGTCGTCTGAATTCCTAACCCCTCCTCTTCGCTGCAATATCCCCGCAGTTCCCCAGGTGGCGGTCGTCAGTTTTTTTGTGATCCTCTCTTAGTGGTGAGGGAGGTATTTCTGTATGTTTTGCGACCCCCTCTTCATTTTTTTTGCTGAGTCCACGTCGTTGGTTCTGACGGTTCTTGGGTTTGATCATTATGGATTCCCCCGTGATCGAAGATTGCATGCAGGCACTTGTGAGGGTGGGTCTTGGAGCATGAGGGTGTATTACACGACGCATCCAGGATTTACTCTGGACCTCCTCGTCCTCCTCCTCCAGCCGTTCCAGCTCAGTCTGTCTGCCTGCGCTTGCAGCAGCACGTCTTCAGAACGGCACACTGCTGTTTCGGGCTGATTGTGGTTTCTTTCAGTTTGAGGGAGTTCCCCCCCATTTTTTCACGTGGCTCCTTCGGAGCAGCTGCTACCATCACGCCTTCGTAGCGGGGCCTATGTCTGACAGCGGCGGCGCTGGAGGTAAAAGCGAGGGCAGAGTTTCCTGGAGGCGGTGGCATGACAGCTGGTCCTCACCGCCTCCACAAGGCAACGGACGGACTAGTATGGCGCCATGACGCAAGACGTGGCCCAGCACGGTCCCTGGTTTGCTGTCTTCTCGTCCTGGCGGCGGCCATGCTCAGTCAGACGCCAAAAAGTGGACCTGTTCTACGTGCGGCTGTCGCCGCAAGCCCCCGTATGTGCCACTTTTGCAAGCACAACGGGACCACTAGGA